CCAACTTCGGCATCGGACTTGGGGCGCCGAGGCTCGCGCGTTGCGCTGCGCGAAGCGCCGAGCGCGCTTATCTTCGCGCTCCCCCGCCGCCCCCCGAGGAGGGCGACCCTCCTGCCCCGACCGAGAAGCGCGACGCGCGATGATCTTCGCGCTCTCCCGCATCCCCCGAGGAGGGCGACCCCCCTGTCTAAACCGCAAAGCGCGCAATGCGATCATCTTCGCGCCCCCTGCGGGAAGTCACCAGGTCCACCAGGCTCCCGAGGGGTGGGGGGTGAGGTTGAGGTAGGTGAGAGGGGCTGACAGAGAACGTTTCCAAGCGTGGCGCGAAGCCACCACGCATCCGCCGCGGCGCCGCCAACTGCGGCCAGCGCGCGTCCACCGAGCAATCTGGCTGCTCGCCGACGCGCAGCCGAGACACTCAGCCCCCGCTCCGAAGGTTCAGATTAGTCTGTCATTTGTCCGGCATTTGTCTGTCACCAGTGGTTCTGCCGGATACATTCATGAAAACTCTGTACTTGTAGGTGACAGACACTGACAGACAAATGACAGACAAATGACAGACACTGACAGACTCACTTTAGCTGTGTTTTTACAGTGTTTTCTGACCCTGACAGACACTGACAGATCTGTCATATGTCTGTCATTTCTGGGGGTTCAAAAACTGATATATGTATCGTGCGTTTGTGGGGGTGACAGACAAATGACAGATCTGTCATTTGTCTGTCATTTGTCTGTCGGTAGCTGTTTTTTGCCCCCCGAGGCCCCCTTCGGATAAAAAAAAACAAGCCGCGCGAAGCCGCCCCTTCGGGAAACAAAAAAAGCTAAAGCGGCACTCGGGATCCAGCGCCCTCGGAGCGAAGGATTCGAATTGTATGTAGGTGAAGCCGACTGATGGTCAAGCCTCTCGAGGCCCCCTGGAGATCCCCGCTGGCCGTCTGTCGACGCAGTCGATTGCTTCTCAGGCCTCTCGAGGCCCATGGAGATCTCCGCGGGCTGTCGGCCGACGCAGTCGATGGCCCGTTGGGCCTCTCGATGCACCTAGAGACCACCGCGGGCCGTCGGATCAATCCGAGGGCGGGTCCGACGCAGCCGTGGGCTGCTCCCTGAAGTTGATGAACGGGTTCACGTAGCTGGGGGGAACGTGAGCAAGCCACGCGAGGTGCCTGGGCCCATGGAATTCTTTGGAGGCCCCTGGAGCCCTTGGAGGCCCCAGGCCACGGAAACTGCCCCTTGGGGCCCTTGGAGGCCCCAGGCCCCTGGAGCCCCACGCTCCCCATTCATGATGTTTCCCCGATGCTGGAGGTCGCGGCCCCTGGAATGCCTTTCCCATGGTAATGTGGCTCGCGCGCGTTCTCCCTTCTGGCCTAGAGCTCCTGGGGCGCGTGCACGGAGATGGGCTCGTCGACCAGCCAGGCAACATCGCTGTCCTGGCGGGGGGAGGCACGATGAGGGCGCGGGAGGCCCAGGCCCGCAGGGTGGTCGGGGTGCGATATCTGGTCAAGTGTGATCGGGGGAGGCGGAGCGGGTGGATCACGGTGGAGCTGGAGGAATGTGTGAGCGAAGCATGGTGGAGAGGGGTGGAGGAGAAAGACGGGGTGGATGAGGATGGTTTTTCTATCGTTTGCCCATCACGCGTCCCGCGTGGAAATCCGCCGAACAACGAGCCATGCTGGAGGACGGTGTGTACCCTCGACGAGCTCTCGATGAGGAAGCCCGACGGGTCGCACATGCACTGGACGCAGCAATCATGGTGGTCCACGCTGTAGACGCTGTCGCAGAGCGGGCACCGCCACTGGCCAGGACGCAGAGGGCTCGGGTCTGGAACGTCAAGGGCTGACCCGATCAGGTCGGCCAGCGTGTCGCCCTTGCCGCCAGCGGGGCTGCTGTTGCAGCTGATCGGGCTGGTGCTGATCTTCTGCTTCTTGATCGGCGTCACCGTGAGCGGCGTCGACACGAGCGGCCGCTCATCAGACTCATCGCTCGAGTCCTCCTGCGTGGCGGCGGCCCCCTGTGAGCCAGGCGCCAGCTCGGGATGCAGCCCTGGCTTCATCCACCTCCTCAGCGATGTTTGCGTCGCCGATGTTGCTGATGATGCGGGCGACGATGCCGCTGGTGCTGACTTGCCCGCGCGGGCCCTGCCCGCGCGGACCTTGCCCTTTCGGGTGGCGGGTGCTTGCACCGACGAACGGTGCGCAACCATGCAACGCACATAAAACTAAAGAAGATTGGACGAGGAGGAAAGGAACGCTGTAGCGTGGAGGTGTGGGAGTGAGAGAATGATTGGGTGGATGGGTGCGGGTGTGGGGGAGGGGGGCATGGCGGCAGGGGACGGATGAGCGGGGGGGTGGTGGGCTGAGGTGGATGGGGTCATGGATATGAGCTCCATCCCATTCGACCTCTATCGGCTGCATCTCGCATTGCGCCTCCTCGCTGACAGTGGGCACCCCCTGCGGAATCGCGATGCTGCTCACAATGGCGGCCAGCACTCGAACCTCGGCGCGCGTGATGAGATGCCTGGTGGAATCGGCACTTCATCAGCGTATCGCTCACTCGGTCTGCCGCGCAACGCACAGACAGCATGTCATATGACAGACGGGCCTGTCATATGACAGACAGGTCTGTCATATGACAGACGGGTCTGTCATATGACAGACGGGTCTGTCATATGACAGACGGGTCTGTCATATGACAGACGCGTCTGTCAATGACAGACCCCGTAGATCACGTGAATGGTCTGTCGGACAGCTGATTGATAGTCATTACGGTTATTGGTGTGGAGGTTGGGGAGGTGTGGTGACGGGGCGGTGGATGGAGGTGTATGATGTGATGAGTGAGGTTGATGAGGGACTGCGATACCATATGTGTTCATACATACATCTATAGATGGGGGCGTGTGTAAAGATTTGAAAGCCTCGCTGTGCCCGCTCGGAAGGTTCGGCATGCCTCGTGGCCAGTCCATGCGACGGCAGCGGATGAAGCAGTCCACGATGTAGAGGCAGAACGCTGCGGGGTAGCGCGAAGCACAGTAGAATGCATACTTCTCGCCTGGTGACCATAACTCGCCCTCCTACGGAGAGCAGGGCCATTCGCTCAGAGCACGTGTTTCGCATGACCGAGCGCGGGCGGACGGAAAACTACGTCGGCCCCAACGGGGCTGGGCCCGACCAGACATTGCCGCGCTCTCAGTCATGCGATCCACAGTGCTCTAGACGAATGCCCATGCTCTCCTCTTTGGCCCGTCGATGTCTGACACCGCACTTGCACGATAATCCAGCAGCCACAATCCACCAGCACGAACTCCACATTCGGATCGTCATCCTGGGTACAGTCGTTGCTAGCTGCCCGCTGCACCTAAACATGCACGAGTGGGCCTCCGTCGCATATAAGTTCAGGTCTCGGAGCGTGGAGGCGATGGTAGGGTATGCGAACATGCAACTCTTACCGTTGTTCTCTAGCGTGGTCCAAACGTTGCGGGCGTGGCACACTCGAATTATAAATGCAGTGATTCTGGCAATCTTGTTGCCACGCCGCACGTCGGGGTTCGTCTGCTTGCCCTCGATGCCTGGCGGTGGTTCCATGGCCAAGCGTGCTTCGACGTCTTGGGTCGAGGCGCGCCAATTCCTCGTTCTCTCCGCCTCGTGGGTAGATTCGAAGCCCCAGCTCGCACAATCGGGAGACACCCACACAAGGCCATTCTCACGCACCTCGCCCAGGGCGAGAGACAGAGGACCGCGTGGAGGGTGGTGGAAGGTGGACGGCGGTGGAGGGTGGATGGTGGAGGGTGGATGGTGGATGGTAGGGGGTGGTACAGGGCGGAGGGTGGAAGGTGGAGGGTGGAGGACAGATGGTCGAGGGTGGATGGCTGAAGACGATGGTGGATGGCGGAGGGTGGGATGTGTCGGAGGGTAGAGGGTGGAGGGTGCAGGGTGCAGGGTGCAGGGCGGTGGAGGCATGGGGCTGGAGGGCGGAGGGTAGAGGGTGGGATGGTGACCTGGAGCAAATGGTCGAGCAGAACGAGGAAGCCGTCCACCGTCGTGACGTCGTGCCCAGGGTCCAGGTGCTGGCCGAACTGCCAGGTGTCGAGCCCGCGCTTCAGCGCGGCATTGTGTATACCACCAGATCCGCAAAACACGTGCACGATGTCCAAGCACCTCCCAGCGTTGCTCTCGAGCTGGGCTGCCTGGGAGGATGGGGCGGCGAGAAGGGTGAGGAGGAAGAGTGGGAGATGAGCAGGATCAATGCCTGCTGCACCGTTCTGCCGTAAACTCTTGGAGCTCGAGTCGACGTCGTGCACCTGGCTGGCACCGCCGACCCCTGCCCCCTACTCTCGCCCATGCGTTCGAGCTGTGGCTCCGACCATCCCCCCTTCCCTCCCATCGCCCCCTCGCCGCGACCGCTCTCGAACGCAGGTTTCGGCCCTGTCATGGGCCGCTCCCAGCGCCCGAGCTTTTTTTTTTTTTTTTTTTTTTTTTTTTTTTTTTTTTTTTTTTTTTTTTTTTTTTTTTCTGGCCCTGTTATGGGCCGCGCGCGGAACTGGAAGCCTCGCGATGGCGAGGCGCACGAATCGATCACGGACGTCGGGGAAAAGCCGACCCACACCGCCCTTCCAGTTAGAAGGATGAGGAAGAGGAAGATGAGGATGAGGATGAGGAAGACGGATGAGGAAGAGGAGGAAACGTAGAACGAAGGAGGAAGGAGGAGGATGGAATATGAGGAATCACTCTCAACCTTCCGCTCTTTGTCCCTCCTCCCCCGACTCTTATTCGTCCATCACTCCTCACTCCTCACTCCGTCCGCCTCACTCCGTCCGCCTCACTCCTCACTCCGTCCGCCTCACTCCTCACTCCGCCTCTCATCCGCATCCCCTCCACTCTTCGCTCCGACCTCATCTCTCCTCAGTTGTATCGCACCGATGTCGTCGGAACGCTCAGGGTGCGCTGAGGCCGCACGCCGACAAGATCCTCGGCAGCAACCACGGCGTGGCATACGCCTCCAGCGACATGCGCGTCGGCATGGACGTTGACGGCCTGTGCGAGCACGCATCGTGGTTGGAAGGCCTGCTGCGTCTCGACCCGCGCGGCGGGTTCTTCGACCACATCGACGTCGCCAAGGGCTTCTACGGCATCATGAAGGCGCCGGCGGAGAACGTGACGAGGGCGAGGGCGATCTCCAGGGCGACGGGCTACCCCGTCGACGGGCTCCACGACTACTGGGCGCTCAAGACCCGCGTCATGTTGTCGCACCTGAGGATCAAGAAGAAGGAGCGGGTGCGATATCGCGGCCGATCGTGCCGTGTCTGATCGACTTGCCAGCGCGCAGGGTGACAGACAACGTCTGTCATATGACAGTTCCGTTTGTCATATGACAGACGTCGTCTGTCGCCCTGCGCGCCGTGCGGATAGTTTGCGTAATCCGAGGAGCTCACCAGCACTGCGATCGAGAAAGCGCAGCCCGAGCTGAGGTCGATGCTGTCGCTGATCTCGAGGCCCTCGCCGTCGCCGCCCGCCAAGCCCAGCAGATCAGCAGCGCGGCAGGAGCCAGTCCAGAACCCGTTCATCAACTACAGGGTTCCCGAGCTGTTCACAAGCCCTCCTCAGACGGGCGCCGGCTTCGGGAGCTCGTCGGTCCTGGACTCCGACGGCGACGATGACGACGAGGACAATCATCCGATCTTCTGCCACTTCGATGGCCGTGCCATCCAGCTCGTGCTCTCCAACGGCTCGGCCAGAGAAGCTGAATGGTTTCGGGTGAGTGGTGACGGCTTCGTGATGGGCGTGTGGGGCTCCGTGAAGGGCGCCGACGGCGAGCCGTGCTCGTGGGAGTCGGAGCTGTCGGCCGACTGGCTCGGAGACGACGGGAAGCTCAAGCGCCCCCCCAAGGCGCAGCCGAAGCCCGCGGGCAAGAGCAAGGCCAAAGGGAAGGCCACCAGTGCCAAAGGGAAGGCGAAGGCAAAGGCGAAGGCCAAAGGCAAGGCCAAGGCCAAAGGGAAGGTGCAGCTCAAGAAGCGCAAGGCGGGCGAGGACGACAGCGAAGGTGACGAGGCAGATGCCCAGGGCGAGGATGATGAGGAGGAGGAGGATGAGGAGGAGCATGAGGACGCGGCCGAAGCTCCCGAAGATGAGGAAGCAGATGCAGCGGAGGCAGAGGAGGCAGAGGATGTGCAGCCGTCGAAGCCCGTCAGCAAGAAGCCGGCTGGTAAGGCTGGCAAGAAGGCTGCCGCATCGAAGAGGCCAGCGATGATGTCCAAGCCAGCGGCAGCAGCAGCAGCAGCAGCACCACCAGCAGCGGGCGCAGTACCAGGCGACGCAGCGGGTGCAGTACCAGCACCAGCAGCAGGTGCAGCCGATGCAGCAGGAGAACCAGCCGATGGCGCCGCGGAGGACGCGTCGCAAACCAAACATCCTCCTCGTGTCCGCCTCCTCCGCATCATATCCCTCCCCGTACTCATCGCTCTCCTCGTCATCATCCTCGTCCCCCCTCTTCATCCTCGTCCTCCAGATCCTCTCTCTCCTGCGCGCCCCCGCGCTCTGGGGGGCCCCGCGCCCAGCGCCGCCCTCGCCCCCTCGTGACTAACGAGGGGGAAAGTGGGTCGTGGAGGAAAGGAGGCGTGAGGGATGTAGGGACAGGGTGGAGTGAGGGACGGTGAGTAAATGGAGGGGAGTGAAAGACGGGAAGCGAGGGGCGGAGGAGGGAGGGACATGGAGCGAGGGAGGAGTGCAAGAGAGCGAGGGATGGGGGGCGAAGGAGGCTGTAAATCCACCGCACCCCTGAGGATGACACGCAGATTGAGCTCATCCTTGCGAACGGCCACAACGGCAAGGTCGCCGTATTCATGAGAGCCCTGGGCCGCCCCAAGAAGAAACAGATTCTCGAGGTCGGCGGCGAGAACGCACGTGAGCGGGCTACGACGATCATCGACATGATTAGGACGCAGGTGATGGACATCGTCGGATCTGTCAACGACCCCGCCAAGGTCTCGGATGAGGACATGAAGGCCGTGAGGGCGATCGCCAAGGCGGCGCGCGACGGGCCTGCTGATGATGGGCCTGCTGACGGGCCTGATGATGGGCATGCCGAGGGGCCTGCTGACGGCGCTGCTGACGGGCCTGCTGATGACGGGCGTGCTGCTGACGGACCTGCTGCTGACGGGCCTGCTGCTGACGGGCCTGCTGGCGGGCCTGCTGACGGGCCTGATGACGGGCCTGATGACGGGCCTGCTGACGGGCCCGCTGACGGGCCTGCTGACGGCGGTGAGTGAAGGGCCTGGCGACGGCGGCGGCTGGGTCGCAGACTCGTAGGTGCATAGGCCGTAGCCGTGCGAGATGCGCGGGCGGCCCGAGGAGCGGTTGCAGACCGCTGGAGATATCGCTCGGTCGAGGCGCCTAGCAATATCAGAGACTTGCAGTCCTGAGCTCAGCGGTGGCATTGGATAACGAGGCGGCGGCATCGAATGTCGAAACGTCGGGCCGTGTAATCCAGGGTGTCGCGGCCGATGTGCCAATTGCGAGTGCATTGCGCCGTGGGCATCTCAGTGTTTATCCAATGCCACCCCTGAGCCCAGGACTGGCATTCGGTCCCGCGGGAATGCGACGTCGCGAAATCGACGAAGATGGGATCAAGAAGCCCAGGATATTTCCAGGGGTGCACCCCTGGATATCCCCTGGGCTTCTTGACCCCATATGAGGGGGTTAGCCATGCCCGCGCTGCGAGAGTCATCCACTACAATACGGCCTTTCATTTTGCACGGCGGTGGCATCGGATACTGACCAGTCGGGCCGTGCAATCCAGGGTGTCGCGGCCGCCGCGCGAATTGTGAGTGCACTGCAACGTGGGCGTTGCATTCCGCCGCCTTGGACGATGTCAGGCAGTATGGTAGTGGCTGGCCCTCGCAGCGCGGGCTGACAAACCCTCACCCCTGGTAGTTCCTCGGGCGCCAGGACCCCCATCTTCGACTGCGATTTCGCGCCACGGCATTCCCGCGGGACCGAACGAGGGGGATGGTGCGGACGAGGCCCAGGGGGAGGGTACGCACCCACCAGCAATAAGAATAGGTAGGTCGACACATGAAAGTAGAAAGGTGGACACATGAAGTATAAAGGCCGATCACACGCAACAATAACAATGACAACCACACCATATCGATATTAAAAGTAATACGACACGTGACATGTATTGGGATCTTAAGGTCCAAACAAAGATACTTTCAACGAGCGGCGTGAACGTGGATGGGGAGCGCGGTGGGCTCAGGATACCCCCCCAGGAGCCCACAGAGCGCCTCGCGGCCCTCGCGGAGCCTTTTGTGGAATGGTGCGAGCGGGCCCATGGGCACACACATGAACACACACCTCCCAATATTCCCCATATGTTCTATAGTTTCTGGATGTTCGCCTTCTTCAACCACTTATCATGGTTTCTTTTATTTCTCGGAGAGGGGTTGGGCGATCCGCACGCGTACCACGATAATGGCATGAACATAAACGTTCGGAGGTCAGCTCGGATTTCTCAGTGCGGCGCGCGACGCGCCGCCAGTCTGTCATATGACAGACGGGTCTGTCATATGACAGACGGGTCTGTCATATGACAGACGGGTCTGTCATATGACAGACCCCATTTGTCACGTTGCACGGCTGACTGGGATGCACGGCGAGCGCCGAAACAAGCAATCCGAGCGGACATCCAAGCGTTTATGCTCATGCGTTGTTTCACTCCGTTCGGTTCGTCTGCACAGCTGGGCCCAATCCGATCCGATCTCAACGCGCATTTCGAATCGTCGCCGCGGCTGGGTGCCCTCCGAAGCCTAAACGCGCTCATCGATTCGTCGCCACGGTTGGATCCCACTGGATCAAATATCCTAGTCTGAACGCGCATCTCAAATCGTCGCCGCGGCTGGATCATTTTCGAATTTTTGGTCGGAGCGCGCATCTCGAATCGTCGCCACGGCTGGACCCCTTCCGAACACCTGGTCCGAACTATCGTCGCCACGGCTGGATTTGGCCATCTGACGCTGGCCGCGCGCGCCCCCCATGCGCGCAGCGCGGCACCAGACAGCCAGCGCCGCGACGACGGCGGCCAGCACGGCCGCGGGCATATGGAAGGGCGGCCCCGAGGGCCGCCAGGGGGAGCGGCGCTGAGAGCCAAGCGCCAGGGGGGATCGAGGAGCTGCGAGGAGCGAATGTCATCCGATACATAAACATACGCACGCACACACTCACACACATATGTATATATACATACATATATGTATGTATATACACATATGTATACTTATGTCATATATATATATGTATACTCACATATTTGTATAGTTGCTGTGTTTATGTGTATATGTAATGTATGTATGTATGTATGTATGTATGTATGTATGTATGTATGTATGTATGTATGTATGTGTTATATGTATGTATGTATGTATGTATGTATGTATGTATGTATTTTTATAACACAAGAAAGCCGGAAAGCCGGAATCCTACAAATCTCCGCGCTTTTTAGCAGGATCCAGGATTCTATCGCAGATCCCTACAAAATTGCGTTCGATATGACATGTCGCGTTTCTTTTAGCAGGATCCCCAAAAGAAAGCCGGAAAAGAGCCTCAGGGCACATCCGTACATGCACACATACATGCATGCATGCATGCATGCATGCATACATACATACATACATGCACACATACATACATACATACATACATACATGCATGCATGCATACATACATACATACATCCGTACATACACACATACATACATACATACATACATACATACATACATACATGCATACATGCATACATGCAAACATGCATACATGCATACATGCATACATGCATACATACATATATACATGCATACATACATACATGCATGCATGCATCGATACATACATACATACATACATACATACATACATACATACATACACACATACATACATCCGTACACACATACATACATACATAAATACATACATACATACATACATACATACATACATAAATGCATGCATCTATGCATGCATGCATGCATGCATGCATACATATATACATACATACATTCATATGCATATATATTTAATATCAATATATGTGTATAGACCTCACTCGTCCTGACGAAGACCTCCTGCCTACCTACCTACCTACCTGCCTGCCTACCTACCTACATACATATGTACATGCATACATGCTTACACATATACATACATACATGCATACATACATACATACATACATACATACATGCATGCATACATACATACATACATACACACATACATGCATACATACACGCATACATACATACATACATGCATGCATGCATGCATGCATGCATACGTACATACATACATACATACATACATACCTACATACATACATATATGCATACATGCATACATGCATGCATACATGCATACATGCATACATGCATGCATCCATATACATACATACATGCATACATACATACATACATACATACATACATACATACATACGTACATACATACATACATACATACATACATACATACATACATAAATGCATGCATGTATGCATGCATGCATGCATGCATGCATACATATATACATACATACATTCATATGCATATATATATATATATATATATATATATATATATATATATATTCAATATCAATATATGTGTATAGCCCTCACTCGTCCTGACGAAGACCTCCCAGGAGCTGCCTCCCGCCCTGCACGGCCGGCGCCCCCTCTGAGAGGCGAGGCTGCGCGCCTGCACCGGCCACGGGCTGGCGGACATCTGGCGCCTGCGGGCGCGCGCCCTGCCGCGGGCCCCGGACGCGGTGGTTCGGCCCGCCGCCGCCGAGGAGTCAGGAGAGGAAAAAACACACAGACACAATTAATCGTCGATCCCCAGGAAAATATGGCAAAATATAGGAAGTGGGGGGGAAACAAAAACCTAGAAAATAGGGGAAAAATCAGGGAATATTTTTATTTGTGTGTATTTATTTGTGTGTCCTGGGGCTCCTTCAGAGGAGGTCGCGGCCGTGCTGGAGGCCGCCCAGGGCGACCCGGGCTTCGCCGTCGTCCCCGTGGGCGGCCGGACCTCGAAGAGCAGAAAAAAAGCGGGCAGTGTGGCGGAGCGTCCCGGCTCGCCTCCATGGGCCCACCATAAGGAGTGATCTGAGAACCTTTTTCGAGCGGTCTGCACGAGATGTTCGTCAGACACTTCTGGCCGAGATGGTCTTGTTTTGACACATCGGGTCCACCGAAGTCAAACGGCACGAAGATCGGGACAACATCGGATCGGGATAACTCGAAATCTCTGAGAGTCGGCGGGTTTGGAGGATGTATTGGGCGCCGCGGCCGCTCCAGAGCGTTCCGGAACGGTTTGAGAGCGCTCCGGAGCGCTCTGGAGCGATTTATCCCGATCCTAGCCCTGTTTTGCGAAGGAGTGGTCTGAGAGCCTTTTGAGTGGTCTGCACGAAGTGTTAGTCAGACGCTTCTGGCCGAGATTGTCTTGTTTTGACACATCGGGTTCATGCTCTGAGAACATTGATTTTGTTATAAGAACATGTCCGGGTTCTAAGAACATGCCCTGGTAGGTCTATAGCAATACCAGGACGGTCGGTCCCTGCTTAAAGAAAGATCGCAGGAGCATGTCCAGTTTCTTCCTGGGGTCTGGGCGGGATTTCTTGGACCAGCGCTGGTCGGGGGTCCCCCAGCGGTGTGGTCAGTGACCACACCCCGTGGTGAGTCACCGTGGATTGGGGGGCCACCGCGCGGTTTTGGGACTTCCGTCGTCCTCCGAGGGCGTCTCGGGTGACTGGGGCCTCCGAGGTCTCAGCACCGTGCGGTGACGGACCTCGCGGTGAGGTCTTTCGGCATTGCGACGTCACCACGCGGTCGGTCACCACACCGTTTTGGGGCCCCGAAGCTGGGCCTCTTTCGCGGCGCCTCCGGCGCCGCCCCGGGCGCGCTCTGCGCGCCGGCGAGGGGGGGGTCCAGCGCCGATGCAGGACACCCGCGCGGACCTCCGAGAGATTTCGATCATGCTCGTGTTTCTGTTCCTCTAAGTATAGGACCAACGTGACGTCGGCGCTGGCGCTCCCGACGCAGGAGGCGGACCCGAGGCCACAGGCTGCCGGAGCGGAAGCTCCGAGGAAGGCGGGTTGAGACAACGGTATAGTTGGCCTTCGGGGGGCCCCCCGTCGCCAAGAGGCTGGGTGCAGCTCGGAGAGCTGCTGCGTCTGCTCCGAATACCGATCCCAGACCCCCTCGAGTCATGAAAAAATCACGACGGGAGGTTTTTTGCCATTTTCGGCTTCTGGGGGCCCCTACCGGGCCTCGGGGCTATCAAAAAACGACTCAGGATGAAAAACCGGTCTCGGGGAATGGGTCCAAACCGCTGGGGGTCGACGTCATGAAAAAATCATGACGTCGGGGGTCTGGGATGCCCGCTAGCCTGATGCCGCTACCCCTTCCCTCGTCACTGGGCGCAGGGGACGGGGTCCGTGCAAACGGGGGTCAACCGGAGCGCCGGATCATGCAGGATCCTGCAGAGCCAGGGGTGCACTGACCCGGGTTTGGGCCATGGGTGCAGGATCCGGCAGGATCCTTCAGGATCTTGCAGGATCTTGCCAGGCCCGGCTGACCCGGGTTGGCACTGACCCGGGTCAGTGCGTCTCCGATCGTCGCTGCGGCTGGATTCGCCCCGACATCCCGACCAGCCTGGTAGGAACGCGCCCCTGGAGAGGTCCGTGGAGCAGCGGTGTCGCTATTTCTTTTGGTTCCCCCGAGGTTGCCCTGGACATGCGCGGGCTCAGCCGCGTGCTCTGGGTCAACGCAGAGGACGGGGTCGCGCACGTGGAGGCCGGCATCACGGGGAGCGCTCTGAAGGAGGCACTCCGCGCGCACGGCGTGAACATGGGAATGGAGCCCGACTCGATGGAGTTCTCCACCCTCGGCGGCTGGATCGCGACCCGTGCGAGCGGCATGAAGCGCGCCCGCTACGGGAACATAGAGGACATGATCCTCGAGGTCAGCGTGGCGACCCCCAGCGGCGTGCTCTGGCAGCACCAGGGCACTGCTGGTGGTGCGACGTCGCGCTCGGCCTACGGCCGCGCCTCGACGAACGTCGGGCTGCCCAGCGTGGTACTGGGCAGCGAGGGGTGCTTGGGCGTCGTGACCTCGGCGGTCGTGAAAGTGAAGCCCCTGCCGGAGACTGTCGAGTACCAGAGCGTTGCCTTCTGCGACTGGGAGGGGGGCGCCCAGTGGATGAGGGAGGTCGCGCGCCTGCCGGCCGCGCTGCGGCCTGCCTCGTGCCGGCTCATGGACAGCAAGCAGCTCCAGCTGGCGCAGGCCATCCGCGAAGACGGGTCGAAGAGCAGGCTGGCATCGGCCGCGAAGGCCGCCGTTCTCAGGCTGAAGGGCGTGCGCCTCGAGGAGGCGGCTGCCGCCACCCTGGTCTTCGAGGGCAGCCGGCTGGAGGTGGCTGCCCAGAAGGCTGCCCTGTCGCCCCTGGTACGGCGCGCAGGAGGCATGTGGGCTGGCTCCAGCTCTGGCGAGGCGGGGTACGCGCTGACCTTTGCGATCGCCTACCTGAGGGACTTCGCGCTGGACCACCGGATACTCTCCGAATCGCTGGAGACGATGGCCCCGTGGTCGGTGGTGAAGAGCGTGTGGCCCGCCGTCGTCGCGGCGGTCAGGGCGGAGCACGGAGCAATGCGCCTGCCCGGGCAGCCGTACCTGACGTGCCGCATGACCCAGCTGTACGACGAGGGCGCCGTGCTGTACATGTACCTGGCCGTCAGCACCGTCGGCCTCGCGCCGGAGAAGGCGCTGGAGGCTTTCGAGCGCCTGGAGCGCGCGGCGCGCCGTGCCGCGCTGGACGCGGGCGGCTGCCTGAGCCACCACCACGGCGTGGGCAAGCTCCGCGCGGAGCTCCTGCCGCAGACGCAGGCCCCGGCGTGGTCGGCCGCGCTCCGCGGGCTCAAGGCCACCGTGGACCCTGCCAACGTGCTTGGAGCCCGAAACGGCGTCTGGTCGGATGCTGCACGTGTCGGGCACGATGAGGCGCGCGCGGCCTCGACACAGCTCCGCGCTGGGCGTGCGGGGACCCCACCTCGGTGCGAGGCTCGCTCGCAGTCTGTGGTGGCCGAGGACGAGGAGGCCGCCGCCGCTGCCGTCGAGCAGGAGAGCGGCGTCGATGGCCCTGCTGAGCTGGAGAGGCGTTTCGAGGAGGCGCTGGAGTTTGTCCGGACGGAGAGCCCGTGGTCGAAGAAGGTCGGCAGCGATCGGAAGCTCATCCTTTACAAGTTCTACAAGCACGTTCGCGAGGGTAACGTTGCTGGCGACAGACCAGGCGCTCGAATAACACAAGAGGGCATACACATAATTTCTTGTCGCTGGGCGCGGATCTCTTGGTTCGGCGGTGAGCCCCCTGGCGACGCCTCAGGCGCTGCCCCTATCGCGCTCCGCGCACCAGGGAGGGAGGTCCAGCGCCGATGCGAGACATCAGCGCGGACCGCCGATGAGAGACATCAGCGGACCTCCGAATTTTGTGTCCCTCTAGGCATTTTCCGCCCACAGGATCGCCTCAAGTGGGATGCCTGGAAGTCGGTCGAGGGGATGAGCAGGGAAGAAGCCATGAAGGGGTACATCGATGAGCTCGAGTCGCAGAAGCAGGAGTTCGGAACTTAGAGAGAGAGCGGTGCAGCTCGTGGTCTCCGTGGAAGCGCTCTGAGCTGCGCGAGCTCCCCCCCTGGATCGGGAGAGTGCATTGGCGGCGCGCGCGCGGGGGGGGGGGCGAGGGGTGCGGCCTCCGGAGAAGGCACGGGGGCCCCTGAGAAGGCAAGGACCTTCCCAGGAGGCCCCGGAGTCTCCCTAGGGAGGTCTCCGAGAAGCCGAGAGGGCTTCTCAGAACATTATTCCGCCGTCTCAGCGGGGCCCCCCGCCTTCTGCCCAGTCATCCACCGACACGATTCTTGCAATCCGTGGGCCCAGAATTGTAGACCGCTTCCCTTGGG